GAGGGGGGTATGGGGGCAGCGACGAGGGTATAGGGCACAGGGCGCAGGGTAGAGGGGACGGCGGCGGCGGCGACAGCAACGACAATCGGCATAATAAGATAGCAATTATTTATCTCAAACTGAATAAAGGCAATTTTTGATTAATGAAAGCATTTCGCTGCACAAAAAAAAATGAAAAACAAAGTCAAAGAAAAAAACCAGCAGAAAAAAAAAACAACAACGAAGTGAAAGGAAAAGAAACGAAAGTGTTGACTGGCAATAGAAGATATTTCCATTTGTCCCCTAATAGTCACCTTCCCGGCTGAGCAATCCGTCTCGCCTTTGGGTTTCGACTTTGACGACCTTTTGATTTGTGTAAAAGTCAAGTCCCGCCGCTTGGAGCGAGCCCAACCAAAGCGAATCTCTGCTGGGTCACAAGAGTTCACGCAACGTCTTTTCACCATCCAGATCATTTTCAATACAATAAACACTCAAGTATCGAGTTTAATCGAAACATAATCAATATACATTTTGACAGCCGCAGAAACAAGAACTTTGCACGTTTTTTCACGGCTCTGCTGACTCGATACTACATTTGGCATATGTCAATATAAACATTTTCATATATCATTCCAAAGTAAAGCATTGCTTAATTTTTTTTCAAGGATTTCGAACCATTACGCGAAATTTTCACAAGTTTTTGAAACAATTTTGTTTTCCACAGCAACATGCTTTTTATATTCTTTACTTCTGTATATAGTTTTATATTTTATACTGCGATCTCTATCAAATTTTCTGACGAGAGTATATATTGGAATATTATATATAGGTTCGATGAAGAGAAACTTCCATCTCCTAGTTTATTAGCACTAATTATTATTAATTAATAAATATTTATTAAATATATATGAATATGCAACTAGTTTGTGCTACTATCGAAGAATATTTATTGCGTACTCACCTGTATTGTTAAGTCCAACTCTTTTACGTTTATAATTTGTTTAAATAAACTGCAAAAATGATAAAGAAATCAATTTAGTTTTACCTAAGAAGACGAGTTGAACACAGGAATAAAACTTGATGGGAGTAAAAGCAAGAGTTGAAAACAAAGTTAGAGTTTGTTTTCTTTTTTTATATGTATCAGATATCTTTCAGATATCAGAAAATTATCACACATGCGATTATTATCTGATATCAGATAATTATTAAAGTTTCTTTTATCTAGCTAAAAATCGAAAGATATCTACACATTATTTTGAACATTCTTTTAATGTAGCTCAACTTTTGTTTATTATTGTTTTTATTTTAGTTGCTTTACATTAAATGTTCATAAAATTGTAAAATTAATCGCAAAACAGGCAATAAATTAAAAAGTATATAAATTTGATCGGAGCGCATTTAAGTTAAGAACAAGTACGAGTAAAAGTAAACTCACGAGTGCTTTATTTATGTACTGTGAAATGTGTGAAGTACTTATTTTTTTTTTCTGGTTTTTTTAATGTATGCTAAATGCATAATTCGATTTCGTACAAATTAGCCACATGTATTTCATAACTGAATTGCGCAATAAAAATCAAATTAAATGTTTCAACGGAATGTTGTTTGGCTGCAAAAACAATTGCTAATTATGTACATAAGTGTGTACATAGCACTTATAGTACATTAAGGAGGCTAAATAATGTACTATTTAAATGTTAAGGTCTCTCGAGATACACTTTGTTTAAATGAAGTACTTTACTCTTAGCTAAAATATTATATTAGTTTAAAAGAAAACATGGACATATTTGTCCAAAGTACACTTAAGTCCTGAACATAGCCGAAGGCCTCATCAACTGGGGCTATATATTTCTTAGGTTAGCTTCTGGTTTTAACTAAACTATCCTACTAACTGTCCTAAATAAACTATCCTTAATTAATAAATACTCCTCTTCAGTTAGTTGCAATTTGTATTTGGTCGCAATCCGAAACAGATTTAGTTTTGATGGCTTTTTTGAGCTATTTCTTAAATATTTAAAGTTCTTCATATAGAATTGAACAATTTGAAAATAAGATGAAATTTGAATGAAAAATCTTTTGTGCATGGAATATTTTATGTATTTACTTTTTACTTAAATGTATCACAAAATATTATATAGATCGAAAAGTCTAGTTAAAATGAATATATATTTATCATATATATTTAAAAAGAAGAATAACAAGTTTTTGGTTTTCTTTTGCTTATTGAAAAAGGAAATATGAGTGAGTATCTTCTCAACGTTTTTATTTTTATTACAAAACTATAATTACTCCCTTGATTACAAAGAAAGATCTTCCAATAGCAAGATGCATTCTGCGGACATGTCCTTTAGCTGGCCAAAGTCCATATCGCTCTCCTATTAAATATTTCCCACGGTTTTTTTTACAAAGTTGCAACAGTCATTACAATAAAATTTTCCGTTTAATTTAAATCCTTTTTTCGGCATATCCTTAAAGCGCACATCACCTAAAGCTAAAGCAGGACAAGAAACTGAAACCTTAGATGTGCTCTGCAGAGAGAACTTTCACTGAACTATTCGAGGTTAGCTTTAACGAGAACAAGAATGTAATAAAACCCCAGAATGAAACCCATATTAACATGCACTTTTTAGTTAAGTATATGTAGCATGTACTTTCTTAAATTAATTCAAGTTAAAGTCATGCGTTGCTTGTGCTTAAAGCTGAAGGCAATTAACAGCAGCAGCAGCAGCAGCAGCAGAAAATTTGGCTGCCAAATCAGTTGGCCAGCTGCACATAGTTATCAGATATTACATAAGCTAAACAATATATATTGTATATATATATATAATATATATATATATATTTATCAAAGGGACAATGTATATATGTATATTCCTGAAGTCAGCACACAAATATCTCTACGCACACATATGTAAATGCATGTAGAACGTTTGCTTTACATAAGCAGCATAAAAAAGCGATAAAAACAAAATGAAAGCAAATCATAAGATAAAATAAAAAAGAAGAAGAGCAAGAAGAAGCAGCAGCAGCAGCAGCAGCAGCAGCAATAGCAGCTTCGTTTCGTGGCATGAACTGTGGTCGGGGTCGGGTGCCTTTGTCACCAGAGCGGTGCTCAAATACTATTGGTGCAGGAGACAGGAAAAATCGCCCCCATGTTAAAGTGTCGTTTTGTGTGACACATACAAACACACACACACACGAACACACACACACATACAGCTATATATATTTGTGGCGCAATCGCATAGCCAGTAAAGCAAAGTCGTTGCTGCCGTCGCCGTTAGCAGCAAGCGAGAGGTGTGCTCACGAACACATCGAGAGACACAAACACAAACACACACACACACACAATCGCACGGGCAGGGCACTCATTGGTGTTTACTAAAAAGAGACGGACACACACTCTCAGCTCTCAGTCGCAGTCGCTGCCGCCGCCCCGTCCCCGCCTGAGCGCAGTGGACAAGAAATCAAATGACAAAAATTTAAAAAAAAAAAAGAAAAAGCAAAAAAAAGAGCAAAAAGCAACGTGTGACGTCGACGACGACGACGACGACGACGAGAAGGCGAAGGCGACAACAACAACATTGCCATGGCCCATAATGAGACGAAGACAAAACGACGGCAATTTCAAGTAAGCTACGGCACATGCACGCTGAGCAGCGCGGCTGCGGTCGGCGTCGCTGCCGGCGGCAGCAACAGCGACAATAAGCAGCGACAACGACGAATTGGCTGGCCATTGCCATTTCATTCGAACAAATGATGGGGCCAACTCGCTTTAGCTCTGTCACACGCGGGCTGGCTAATGGGACGACACACACACGCACACAGACACGGCTAGCCCCATGAGAGAGCGCGCACTGGCGCTCTTTGGTTGGCGAGCAAATGACACTGTGTGACGCTGTGGCCAGCTGCGGGAGAGCAGCAGAGCGGGAGAGTGAGCAATGCTAAAGGTGCGTGAGCGGGCAGGTGTGTGTGTGTGTGTGTGTGTGTGTGTGGTGCTGCTGCTGCTCTGGCCGCTTGCTCGCTCGGTCAGCAAACACAAATACGTCGCATGTCAACCACTCGTCCACTCAGACGACAATGTGCGAGCGAGCCGGCAATAGCCCAAAATATTTTGTGCGCCTCTCGCACACACACACACACACACAGCACTGTACGCAGCCATTTGAGTGTGGTCGTGGTCGATGTCCCACGAATTATTTTTTCCCTAAACACACACACAGCAAAGCGTTGACCATGCGTATGACACTGTCTGTGTGCGTGAGAAATTTGAGTCGCCTACGCCTACGCCAACGCCCCCGCCCCCGCCCCAGCCAACTACCACCCAAAGGCGATGACAGTGGCCGCAATGCTCTTAAACCATACTTTAAAATTGTATGCTGTCAAAAATGGGCTTTAAGTTTTTGACCGGTTAATATTTTAGGCTTATTGCAAATGCAATCAACATAAAAACCGAAGAGAGTCATGTTTCTCTTTGCTCTGCACTGCTTAACCGACTGCTTTGCGCAAGCGGCATTGGTGCGACTGAGAAAGAGAGAGGCAACTGCCAATAGCACTATCGCATTCGCTTGCGCTGGATAGTGCATGCATGTGTGTATGTGTGATGACCCAACGACGACAATGTGACACAGCCTAAACAAGCAGCAAGAGCAGCAGCAGCAGCAGCAGAAGCAGCAGCGGCAGCGGCAGCAGCAGCACCAAAAGGCATCACAAAGACCGCGCGGCAACAAACACGAATACACCTACAATAACAACTACAACTATACAACTGCAGGCCAATTCCAATAGCCCAAGCGACGTCTCTGCTCTCATACTCTTGCTCTCACCGCTACACACACACACACACACACACACACACACAGAGGCGCATAGACGCACGCACACAGACACAGCGCTCACTCGCTCGTTGGCTGGCTGCGTTTCAGGTAGACATTTGTGGGGCAGTTACGTTGAACTTGTCCGCTGCTGCGTGTCTGCTGCTGCTGCTGCTGCCTCGCTGCTCTTTGCCGTCGCTCGTCGCTGCGAGAGCAAAGTGTCACCCACCCCGCTGCCGCTGCGTATGCGTGTGTACGTGTGTATGTGCTGTGTGCTGAGTGCTGCCGCTGTCTCTGCTGCTGTTGTCGCTGTCGCTGTCGCATTTGTCGTCGTCGTCGTCGTTACATTTTTTCTGCTCGCAGCGGCACGACAATCAGTGTCACCCACGACTTTCGAAGGAGTGGATCTCTTTTGCTGCCGCTGCTTCTGCTTCTGTCGCAGTCACAGTCACAGTCACCGTCACCGTCACAACAATAACTGTTACTGCTTTTTCGTAGCCTTCGTCTCTGTGTTTTGTGTGTGCCTCGTGAGACTTCGCCGTCGCCGTCGCCGTCGCGTTCGGTCAACAATTATAATAATAATATTCAACAAAAATAAAAAGAAAACATTTTTAATGCGAATCACAACAAAATAAACTAAATACACAAAATATGTGAAATTTTTTTGGTGACAAATTATTAAATAAAGAAAAATCAAAAGAAACAAACAAATTGAAACAAAACAAAAAAGACAACAAACACATTTTTTCTGTGGAGAATTTCACGAGCAGCAAAAATTGTAAGTACATTAATTTATTTAGTTAGTTTTACATTTTTTTTTCTTCTTCTGCTTTTTACCGTCGGCGAGTGGCCAAAATTGGTTGAACAAATTTCGAGCCAAAAAAAAAAAAAAAAATAATATAAGAAATCCGAAACTTGTAATTAAGATTTTTGTCTTTTTAAATGTTGCCTGAGATACAAATTGAGATACAAATACGCGCACAGCTCAGCACTAGACCAGGGACCAGCATCAGGCAGCATCATCATCATCATCATCATCATCATTATTATCGTCATTATCATCGTCGACTCTTGCCCGTTCATTGCTCCTCCAATTGTTGTTGTTGCTTGTCCGCTGCTTATTATAATGTGTACTAACAGCAACAACCAACAACCAACAAGCAACAACAACAACAACAGCAGCTATAAACAGGAGTTGTTGTCGTCTCTCGTCAGCTCTTGGAATTTGTGACTTTCAACATGCCGATAATAAAAAAACACACAACAACAACAACAACACATTCGATGCTGGCCATCAAACTTTGTGATTGGTTTTTTGTTGTTGTCGTTGTTGCTGCTGTTGCTTTCGTCTCTTAAGACATTTAAAGCGTTTGACAAAAATAATTACCACACACACACACACACACACACACACACAGAGACACACACACACACACGCTGGCATTACACATGTCGTTTTGTTGTTATAGTTACTATCGTTTCTAATGACTCTCCGCTATAAAAACGAGGTTTTAATCCAATTTTGGGCAGACAGCAGAACTTGCAATCGAATCCGTTCTATGTTAATATCTTGCCCCACTCTGCGCTGCTGCCTGTTAGCAGAAGAGATTTGATCCTGTGCAGTCAAGTCTGAGGTGGTAGATACTTTTGTATCATAAAGATACTTTTGATACTCGAAGATACTTTTCGTGTGTTTTTAATTCACTTCTCGTTCTTAGCAACTTTGATATATTCTTGCCGATCAAAGATACATTTGTATCTTATAGATACTTGTGTGTCTCATAGATACTTTTGTATCCATAAAGTAAATTGCGGTTGGAGTTCAGTTCTTGTTTGATTGACTTGAGTATGATTTCGCATACCAAGGCTACATTTGTATATCATAGATACATTTGTATCTCATAGATACTTTTGTATCTCTACTGTGACTTGTTGTATTATTATTTAATTATTGTATACCAGAAATACATTTGTATCTTATGATGGATATTTTTGTATCTCATAGATACTTTTGTATTGACTTAGTTATTGTCCTACGAACTGCATATTAAACACTTTCACACATATTTCATACATTCTTTCATGTGTCCAAGCTTTATCCATATACTTTATTGGATAAGAAGTATGTCCAAGCTCAGCTGGGCTGCACACGTTAGCTTGGACTGGTATACATGTGTATGTGTGTGTGTTGCCGACATTGGCGCATGGGTTTGTTGAACATTTGAGATTGATTCCAAATGATAGCGACAGTGAGGGGCACCCAGAGTCGGCTAACAGCGTTGATCGCTCGACATGACGCGACCGCGATCCCCAGCGTCGCGTTAACAATTGTCCCCATCTTTGTCCCCGCCCCTCCCGCCACACTTTGGCCATCAATTCTGCGCCGCTCGTCAGCCTCAATTACAGTAGCGAGCGGCAGGCGGCAGCGGCAGGCGGCAGGCGGTGAAACACGGCAACAACAATAAAAAAAAGCCACTTGGACTAGCTGCCGATCACCGCATGTTGTCGTCGTCTTTGCGGTTTTAATGGGTGCCCCGAACAGCTGAACAGCCGAAAAAGCTGTAAAAGATTTTGGCCAAGCAAAAAATGCTCCAAAGACGGCGGGGCAGCGTCTGCTGACGGCCAATACAACTCCGGTCCGGTCCGGTCCGGTCCAGCACAGTGCGTCAAGGCGACAAAAAGCCGCCCGCTGCCCGATAAATATATGCTGGAGTTGCAATTCAAATGATTCCCCCTTTGCAATTCTGCAATGTCTTTTCATTAGTTGAGCATCTCGAATAGCATTTGTACTCTAAGATACATTTCTGCTTTGACACTTTTCGTACCACTGTGCGTTCGCAGTGTGCCCACGATTTAATTGCGCAGCAAATTTGAAATCTGTAATTGGCATTGGATGCTGCTGTCATCTCGCATGGGCCAGTGAGGGGAAGGGGTCGCAATGAGTGGGAGGGGTAAACGTCCAGCGATGATAACACAAAAGTCGCAAAATGTTGCGCAACTTTTGCAGCTGTCACAGCAACCATCCCTCCCCCTACCCTGCCGCCAACTCCCCCTAACCCCCGCCCCACCGCTGTATTAGTTTCTGATTAGGATTTAGCTGTTGCCGTTGCCGTTGCCGTTGCCCCCGCTAGGCCAACGCGTCCGCCCTTCTCGCAGCCCTGTTCGACGGACTGACTTGCCGAGCGCTTTGATTGACATCCTCGACACTTTGGACTTTCCAGTTTGCCAGTTCGCCAGTTTGCCAGTTCGCCAGTTGACAACCAGCGCTGAGGGCCGATTGAGGACAAAATCAGCACAACAATTATCTCTTACATATCAGTCGAGTGCATTCGGCCGGCCGACGGCAAAAAGAAACAGACAAAAATCTGATTTGTTGTGCCTTGCAACCAAAAGATACTTTTGTATCTCGGCGTGGCTTTACAAGTTGACACTACACTCGGCTCCATTTGTGTGTTAAGATACTTTTGTGTGCATTTACTAGTCTATTGAAAAGATACTTTCGTGTCTTAACTTTGTTTGCATCTTGCAGATACAGCTTGTATCTTGTAGTTACTTTTTGTTGATTTTAAAACTTTTAATTACCCAAAGTTGCATTTGTATTTTAGTATTTGTTTGTATCCATCAGATGCAATAATGTAACTCATAGATACTTTTATGTGCAGTCTTATATTGTATCTAACAGATACTTTTTGTGTCTCAAAGCTTCAACTTCAGCCGCAATTGTATCTCAAAGGCATTTTATCAGCTTGTATCTCAGAGATGCTTTTTAACTGTTAAGCTAACAGCTACATTTGTATCTTAAGAATTCTTTAGTATTTCACACTCACACACATGCAGACAATTTTCTAATCCGCGTCTTTTCTCCTCCATTTCTTTCGCAGCACTTGCCCAAGACAATGGAGCACATTATGAATCCGTTTATGCCGCCCGTCTATCTGCTGGGTCACCCGCATGCCCATCCGCATTCACATATGGGCCAGACCGCCAAATCGCCAGCCAGCTCGCCGGGCACAGCGGGCGCAACAGGAACTGGAGCTGGCTGCGGCAGCGGCAGCGGCAAGGGCAGCTCCAGTTCGCTGGCGAGCCATGCGAAGCCAAAGCGCTGGGGCTCGCCGCCGATCAACTTGGCGGGTCAGTTCATCAATCCGGCGACGGGCAAGAAGCGTGTCCAGTGCTCGATTTGCTTCAAGACCTTCTGCGACAAGGGCGCGCTCAAGATCCATTTCTCGGCGGTGCATCTGCGCGAGATGCACAAGTGCACCGTGGATGGCTGCAATATGGTGTTCAGCTCGAGGCGTTCGCGCAATCGGCACAGCGCCAATCCGAATCCGAAGCTCCATTCGCCGCATATTCGCCGCAAGATTTCGCCGCACGACGGACGCACCGCTCAACAGTTTCCCGTTTTTCCGGCGGCCGCTGCCGCAGCTGCAGCCTTTCCGGGGCTGCTGCCGCCACCTCATCCACATCATGGACACCATCCACATCATCCGCATCATCCGGCTGTGGGCTACGGGCCGGCGGCTGCTGCGGCTCATGTCATGTTTGGCGGCCAGTCGGGTCTGCATAATCTTGGCCTGCTCGCGGGCCGCACGCAGCACGAGCGGCTCTTTGCCGAGGCGAATGCGGACATTGATGCGGATGTGGACGCGGATATCGATGCGGATGCCGATGCGGATGATGAGGGCGTCTACGTGTATGTCGACATGCATGCCAACAGCGCCAGTCCAGCTAGTCAGGACTGCCACAGCGAGGCGGATGCAGATCCCGAGGCGGATGCGGATAACGAGCCAGATGCGGAGCTGCACTGCAGCCTGAGCCTGGCCAGCAATACAAACAGTCACACCAGCTTCGATGAGGAGGAGCGCACGGAGCAGCCCCTGGACTTCAGTCTGCACAAGCGACGCGAACGCCAGACGAAACCGGAACCGGAGCCGGAGCCAAAGCCCAGATCAGCTCCAGAGCGGGAACAGGAGCTATGCGAGCGCCGGATCAAGCGCTCGCCCAGCCCCTGCGGCGGCAGCGGCTTCTCCATGGAACGGCTGTTGGGCAAGCGCCGACGTCACGACAGCTGCGCATCCAGCTCCCAGGAATCGACGACAGCCATCAAGATGGAGCTGGAGCTGGACAGCGACAGCGCCGATGCACCGCACAGTCACGAGCGGCGCGCCCACCACGACGAGCACGCCCACGACCTGTCCACGCCGCAGGCCCGTAAACACCTGCCGACCAGCTGCTCGCCCGACGCCGCAGTCGCAGCCGCAGTCGCAGCCGCAGCCGCAATCAGCCCCAACTCGCAACCGCAGCCCAATCCCATGCCCAGCTCCGTCTCCGTCTCCGGCTCCAGTTCGATTGCCGCGGCGCCTTCGCCGCCCGGCCTGCTCTTCGGCATGGATCTGGAGGAGCAGCATCATTTCCGGCTGCTCCAGACGCAAATGTTTGCAGCCGCAGCGGCCGCCGCCGCCAGCGCCAGCGCCAACGCCAACAGCAGCGTCGCCCAGTCGCCCACAGCCGCCGCGCCGTGGAATCTGCTGTCCGAGGTCTACCGCTCCATGCTGCTCAGCAGCAGCAACCTGAAGGCGCCGCAAACGGCGCCAACGACGCCGCAGCCGGCCCAATACAGCGACATGCCGCCCACCAATGCCGCCATCTCCGTTTAAAAGTAGCCCCCCCCCTCCCCGCCCCTCGCGCTCCACGCAATTAGAAAATGTTCTCAATTAAAAAGCAACCCCCTATCCCCATTTTTTTTTTGTTTTTTTTTTGGGCATGCAGCCATGAAATGGCCTATATAGATTAACTGTAACTGAATCTGGATCTGCATCGAAATGGAAACAGAACCCGATCTGGCTTAAATGATTATGTTACCATGCTGGAACTTAGCTTTTCTACTCGTACTTGTGTTATATATAAATCGTATATATATATATATATAAATTTTTTTTTTTTACACAAATAACGTTTTTTTTTTCCTGTATTCTAAGATAATGCGACATCTAAGTGTATAGTATTCAATCCGTTCCTCAGTGCAAGTGCACCCAGTGTGACCAGAAGAGTTCGCTAAAGAGTGTCTGTCTGTCTGCGTCTGTGTGCGTGTGTCTGTGTGTGTGTGTGTGTTAACTCCTTGAATGCGCAACTCTTTTGGCCCACTGTACGGCGTACAACGAAGTATTGATATTTATAAATATTAAACTAAAAAGCAAAGTATATTAATAATATATTATGTAATTTTAAGTGCAACAATTTTTTTTCATAGCCAATAACTATTTGTATTTGTAACTAACTTTATATAGATATATATAAATACTACTATATATACGAACAAAAACAAAAAAAACCAGGAAAATTAAAAAAAAAAACAACAACAACATATCTCGTGTGTTTATGCCCCTGTGTATTTACTGCTCCCCCCTCGTCACGCCCCCCGTCCCGCCCTTTTTTTTTATAGTTTACTAAACAAATTCTGTACGCACATGGATAGATCTAGTTGTTGCTAATAAGTATATATCCATGGATGTTTAGTGGAAATGGAAATGTTATTGCTCTATCGAAAATCGAAAATCGAAAAATTTGCTCCCTAAGAGATTCATTGTGTATTTAATAAATGATATTTCATTTGAACAATAAAACCAAACAAAATTCAAGAAACATACAAAACAAAATGTCCTGCGACTTATTTACATACTTTTTTTTCAAACTGGGAGCATTATCAGCAATGGGTTTTATATTCATTAGAATATAATAGATGCTATTAGAGAGTTATTGGAACTATCAGTTTTCTCCCAGATACTTCCAGAACTCTCAGAACTATAAACTTGTTTAGACTCAATGCAAACGTTGATTGGATTCCATATATATTAGCATAAAGCAAAGTGAGCTATTGGCATAAAATTTGAAACATTCGATTTATCATGATCAAGTGATTATATTCTAATGAAGGACTGAATCATTTTGGCTATTTGAATACGCCACACGTAGTTAAAGTTTAGACCTTTAGATCTTGAGTAAACATTAAAATTTTACCAAGTTCAAAGTTTAGATAAACCAAACATTAGAGAAGAGATTGGTCTACTTTCCAATGTATTCCCACAGGATTTGGCTCTTGCCCATGTGCAGCTTTATTTGGAAGCAGCTCCCGATGCCCCGCTTAACCCTCCCTCCTCTAAGTAGGAAGTTGACGCGAGAAAATTAATTTAAATGATATTTAATTCCTTACGATTTTTAATTTAAGAAAAGTTTAGATTTCAGTCAAATTAAACAACTAGGCGTTACAATAAAATACAATTGTTATTCTTCCTCTCACTCTTAAACTCAATCGGCCTATCTCTCGCTCACTCTCACTCTCCCTCTCCCTCTCACTATCACTCTCTCGCTATCTCTTTCTTAAAAGAAGTTCAATAAAACGTTCAGCTCAATGAATATGTATTTGCTTGTATTTGGTAAACTATTTTTTATTTTTATAAGATTTATAATTGTGCTGGTTTTAGGTCCAGCTCTAGGTCTAGGACTTAGAAACAGCTAAATCAGAAATCGTATAAATTAAAATTTCAAAATCATTTGGAATTGCTTTTTATATTCAATTTGAATCGAAAGGTTTTACTGAGTGGCAATAAAAGTAAACTGAAGGAGTTATGAAAGTGGAATGAAGCTTTAAAGCAAGATATAGGGTTTATCCTCCATCCTCCATGGATAAAAGAGATAGAAGATATTCCCGGAATATGTATTTACTATTTTTCTCATTGTTCTTATTATTATTATTTGTATTATTATTATTTGTATTATTATAACAATTTGTATTATTAATACAATTATTATTATTATTATTATTATTATTAATTTTTGAGAAGCACCTTTGACCTTTTGCTAGGACAAAATAAAATTCAAATTAAATGCTCGTTGCTTAGGAATATTTTAGACATATCAGATATGTTTTATACTCCATAAAATTATCTATATGTACACGTATTCGTAGAAGGCGTGACATTCATCGCAGTCCACTTTCGAGTTGCTTTAGTGGATCTATTTGACTGGTCCGCTGGCAACCACATCATCAGCATCAGCATCAGCATCAGCATCGGCATCAGCATCGGCAATAACATCATCGTTATGGATAGGCATCTGAGGCCACTTATGTACAGATTACAAGCATGGACGACCAAAACACACACACGCACACACACAGCCAGAGACACACATGATGCTCATTAGATAGACAGGCACTCAAATGCCATATGAATAGAAGAACATTTGCCGGGGCTCCAAATGCCGAATTCAGAACTCCGAATTCTGAATATGAAAAATCCAAATGGAGTTGCCGGATTCAGAGCCAGAGCCAGAGCTGGAGCTGGAGCAGCGGGCTGCGGGCTGCGGGCAGGGCATTGCGTGAAACCGAAACCGCAAAATTGACATGAATGCGTGAAGACTGTGAAAATGTCAAGTGCCGCCTCGAGAGGGGAGTTGCAAGTCGACTCGGCCTGTCGAGGAAACGAAAAAACAAAAAAAAAAAAAACAAAAAGCAAAAAACAAGAGGAAGCAATAACAAAAAGGATACGAGCGAGTGAGAGGGCAATCCGTCAGTGGGTCTGTGCGTCAGTCAGACAGCTAAATGCTTGCCACATTATGAGATGATCCTTGGCAGCGTTGTCACTTGAGACACACACACACTAACACACACACACACACACACAAACACGTATATCATGGAGCATGGCAACCACAATGACAACGACAACGACAACGACTACGACAACGTTGTGCTGTGAAATGGCTGCTCTCATCTCTGGGGATCTATTTACTTTTAAGTTTTCTGAATTGGATGATGTCACGAGACTGGAGACGTCAGCGGGGCGGCGGTTGGCGGGTGGCGGGGCCAGGCTGGGCGAGTGGGTGACTTTTGTGCTCAAGTGGTTGGCAATGCGACGGAAGCAAAGGAAAAGGTTTCGCTTCGTGCAGCGCATTTTTTTATATTTCTTTTTCTTTTCTTTTGGCCTTATGAAATATTAGAAAAATTTACAAAGCGTTAAAAATTAACATTTCAAATGGGATTGCGATTGGGATTGGGCTGTGTGTGCGAGTGTGTCTGTGTGTGTGCGAGTGCGAGTGTGTCTGCCTCGTCGCTGGGGGGATGCAAATGCGTTTATTTTTGGAGACAATTGAAAACCACTCGAGGGTTATTGAGATGTGACAGTCAAGTAGTCGGAGGCGCAGATAGAGCTGGCCAGGGAGACAGCGAAAGAACGAGAGGGAGAGACACAGAGCAAGAGCTAAAGCGAGAGAGAGAGAGAGAGAGAGGTAGAGAATGTTGCGCTGCGTCGGGCTAACTTGACATTTGAAATAGGATCAACTGTTGTTCAATTTTTGGCCAGCGCGAATTCACTTGCCAAACAGCTACGGATACGGACAAATATGTAGCTAGATACATTTGCATATGCAGATACAGATACAGATACAGATACAGATACATATACAACAATGTCCAATGCCACACAGACTCGACATGTTTGGCATATGACAGGCGAGCGACACTCGTTATTCATGCATCGAATTGAGCTAAAAATACCCTGTAGATAGTGGTTTTGGACATGATCGAAGCGGCTTTTAAGTCATTTTGTCAAATTTGTCAGTAGCTAAATAATCGTCTGAGATGAAAAGTTCACTTTTTTAGACTTGGAATTCGTTTGATTTAAGAAGCATTTCTACATATTTTACTTTAATCTAGATACGTTTTTTTTTCTCTTTGAACGGTTAACTTTATTTGCCAGCAAACAGTTTATGTTAATCGACAATTTGTACGGTTTAACATTGACAATTCATTGCCGATTCATCTAAGTAAGACATTGACAATTCATTGCCAATTCATCTAAGTAAAACATTTATTGACTCTAGGTTTATGAGATATATCACATAATTATCACATTTGCTAGTTAGTTTTTTATTAAACTAGCTTCAAGTGTTTTTCCTTTTGAGATCTTGGTTTTAGGGCAAAGGAAAGATAAGGAAGAAAGCAATTCCCAATGCTTAGTTCTCAATTTTAAGCGAATTATTGTTTTTTATACCCTGAACCCATTGGGCGAAAAGGGTATGATGGTTATGTCCAAATGTAGGTAAAGGCAGAAGGAAGCATCTCCTACCACATAATGCATATGCATTCTTGATCCGTAAGTCTGTCTGTCCGTCCGTATGTATAAACGCATCGATCTAAGAACCGTTGAGAGATAGAGACTTGAACTTAGGTCCAGCTAGTGCTCACGCAGTATTGAGCTGGTTTCCGATAATCGATAATCGATTGCCGATTGCGATATCGTAATCCCGGTTTTGGAGCTAATCTCTTAGGTTTTAAGAGCAGGAGTCAACAAGATTGACATGTAGCTCCCAGAATAGTATATACAGATCAAGTAGCTTTTATTATCCTACACCTGAGCCGCCTCCCTCCTGGCGCGCGCTGCATTTGGCCTTGGTTCAGGGTATCCCCTAGTCGACCAGATCCCTCTAGCGTTTAAAACTGTTTCTAATAAAAGTAAACTTTGTTTAAATCAAACCAATTAATGTACATAACTTTTTTGACTAAAACGAATGCAAAGTTCTTCTGATTTGGCAATTTTCTAGGAAATTTAAAAAGAAATTCTTCTTCACAAAACGTTTGTCACCAGCCGAAAATGATTTGATAAGCCAACTCTAGTTAAGATTTAATTTTAGTGCCCCACCAAACTGGGTTAAATGTGGTTCGTGGACATTTCCAGTGATGTCATGAGGGTATTTTTTTTTTTCGGTTGGGTCCACAAACCGGTTGCTGGTCGTAACTGATAAGCTTCTGTTTGGTATTCCAGATGCAGGATTCTTTTTGAACTGTAATCATCATAAAATGCATTCAAATTTGGGTAATTGTGGTTGCCAGCAGCAAGAGCAAGAAGGCAGGCAAAAAGAAGAGCCATGAGACAACTTCGATTCCAAGTAAATAAATATACTTAATTTTAATGACATAGAAATTGCTGGTAAAGTGCTCGCTGATTGAATCTCGTTAGTTGCTCGTGTCGGAGGCTGGGAGAATACCAAGAAGCGGCCTCGGCTCGGCTTGGCTTGGCTTGGCTCGGCTCGGCTCTGTCTCAGTACTTGGGCAATTAATTCGACATTTTAATTTACATTTCATGGGAACATGAAGCAGACACAGGTGACTGTATCTAACAGTGTTTCGCTCTGTCTGTGTGTGTGCGTGAGGCCAGAAGTAAACGAACAACTTTTTGGACAAGTGGCAAATGCTGCGCCAGTGGCAAAGACATCGACAGTTGCTCATTTAACTGCTGCCACACACAATCTGCATGGGCAGCAGAGCTCTTAATTCTATCGAGGTTAACGCGTTATACTCAAAGATATTTCAATATCAAGGCCAAATATCATACAACAATGTACAATGTACAATATGACAGATATTCTGATAGAATTGAACTTATGCTCATTTAATTTTACGACGAATCACAAGCCAACTACTTTTGTATTTGTTAATAATATGTTAAATAATAATTATATAAATATATATAAAAATTAATATTATATATTTATATCTATTATAATGATAATATTAAAATAATAAAATATTGAAAGTTTGCCAAACCAGCATTAAATAATATTATTAAATATATTCTTGATTGGCATCAACAGACAAATT